CGGCGCATTTCATAGAATGTAGGCATGGAGAAGTTGCTGTTGGTCGATGAGTCACGGTCGTTCGACGAACAGCGAGCAGAGTGGTAGTGATGATGGCGAACGAGGCGACGGCTGCTGGCAGAGAAGGAGTATACGACAGAGGCAGACACCGCTCATCGTCGCCTTTCGCTTCCTCGTTTTCTTCGCTCTTCGTCATTCGACGGAGCAACTGCTGCATCGTTGAAGTGGTTGGTACACGTTGTTACTAGAGACACCGCCAGCCGCTCGATCGGTCGTCGTGTTCGGTCTGTTTTGTTTCCATACCCCGAATCGACGACTCTTTCAGAGCTAGTTTCGCAACTGCCGTTGCGTTGTCTCCTGCCTAGCAGCCGATGCAGTTTTTAAAAATACCCTTTTCCTTGGCATCAGTACGTTGTGTATTGCCTCTTTCTGTGTTTCATTCTGTGCTCGCGTTCATCGGCTGCTCCGCTCATTGAGTAGTTTTGAAATAATCAGTTTTGAAAATGCCATTCAACCGATTTTGCGCGTTTTTGCGTCATAATTTAGTGTTATATATGTGCTTCAGGCACTTATTTTTTGTAATATATTTCTACTGATATTTTGCTATTTCAGTTATCGTATTTTAAAGCCAGCCGGTTCTAGTTAAAAAATGGCCACTTCTGGAAAACCTCCTCATTTTCCGCAGCAGCCTGTCGCTCGCCAGAACGATGACGGATCGATCGAGCTCGAATGCTTCCTTGAAGCAGCGCCAGCGCCCGACATACGATGGTTCTACGAACAAAAAGAGATCATGGACGGTGGTCGTTTTAAGATGGATCTGAAGCAGAAGGGTGACGATGCATACAGCGCCGTCTTGTTGATTAAGGTATTCACCACCCTGTTGCTTTTTTTCTTTCAGTCTGTTCGTTTCTCTAATTGATGAGGAATGCGAGCATTAGCGTATACTTTGTCTAAAGTGCATTCACTGTTGAACTGTGGAAGTTCTAGCTATAGACCGTCTCTACGGCG